GCGAGGCTCCTTGGCATGTCTGCCGAGCTCATCCTCTCGGCTGTTCTCAGGAAGGTCCCTGCAGCTCCGACCCAGCCTGGCCTTGGCAGCAGCCCGCTGCTTTTTGGAGGAGGCTGAGCAGTAAATATCCCAGCTGACAGAATAATGGAGAGAAAATGAACCAATTCCATTAGCGTCTGGCGAGCCCCGCAGGGCCTGCGCTGGCGCGAGGAGGGAGCCTGTATGTTTAGCCAGAATGCAGTGTAACTTACTGGGGAGTAGCTAGCAGGGAGACCGGGCTCGGGTTTCAGCTCCAGAGCTGGGCTATGGCAGTTCGACAGGGCAGGTCCGGTCCGGTCGCGGCTGTGAGTATTCTACACGCTTCTCCTCCTGGCACGGCCCGCTCTGCTTGGCTGTTGTGTTCGCTTGCTCGCTGCATTCCTGGCCGCCCGGGGCTTTGCCAGCCGGGGAGCCCGGCGAGCTGCCTCCGTTAATGTCGCAGCGCTGCGCTCTGGACTGGGCTTCCTCTGCTCGCTCTCCGGGCAGTGCTGCATGCGGAGCGGCTGTCCTGCCATGGCTCCCGGCTGGGGGAAAGAGGCTGCCAGCCGGCTCCAGAGCTGGAAAATCCCTCTGCTTGGAGGCTGCAGCCGAAAAGCTCAGCTCTGCCCTGCTGCGCAGTGGGCGGCCGGGCTCGGCCAGGCGTGGTGCTGGGACGGCTCTGCCTGCGGGCCTGCCTAGCACAGCAGATAAACCTGCCTGAGCAGAAGGCATCGGTGCCACGTGATGCCCCCCTCCTTCCTCCGCCCCAGAAACAGCAGGTCAGGCCTTGGAGCTGGGCCCTCCTCGGAGGGCTGGGGGGAGCCAGCAGCCGGGGCTTTGTGCAGACCACGTGCGCACTCGTCTGGCTGCTCTGCTGGAACGGGGAAGTGCAGCGCTGCCTCTAGCACCTCTTCCCCCTCGTCAGCCTGCACCGTGTCCAGCGCGGGAAGGGCTGGGTGCTGCTGGGGGCAGCCAGCGCTGGTGGGAGGAGACAACCCAGCCATAGTCACAGCCTTGGTGCTCTGGTGCTGGGCGGGAGCGGAGCTGGCTTATCGGCCAGGAGGCTACAGCTGGAGGGGTAGAGCTGGGTGTTTGGGACCCACAACTGCTGCAGAGAGAGAGGAGCATCAGGGCCCGATGCTTCAGCCTCCAGCTGTGCCGTGTCCAGCCGTGCTGCACACGGCACCCTGCCATGGGCCCGCGTA